AACAGAAAGAAGCCATTGCTGTTTTAGGAGTGGGAGAGGGCACTGAATAGGGAGAGCTGATTTCTCTTTCCTCTTGCAGTTGTGTCCTCATGTCTGGAAAGGATGTGGGGCACCCCGAGTCTGGACAGGGGTTGGCACTTTTTTGTGTGGGTGTGTTGGTAGTGAAGCTTGAACTCAGAGCCTGAGTGCTGTCCCTTGGCTTTTTCACTCAAGGCTGGTACTCTCCCACTAGAGCCACAACTCCATTTCTGGTTTTGAGTTTTGTGGGGTTTTTTTTTTTTGGCTAATTGGAGATAAAAGTCTCACAGACTTTTCTTCCTGGGCTGCCTTTGAACTGTGATCCTCAGATCTCACTTTCTGAGTAGCTAGGATTACAGGTGTGAGCCACCAGTGCCTAGCTAAGAATCTTCTAAAACTCCAAGAACATCAAGCATTCCATACTGGAGGAGCCTGGCTCAGTTTACTCCCAGATTCACACTGTGTATCTGTTCATCTCTGTCAGTGAGAGAGCCCCTCCAGTGCAGGCTGGAAGCAGGGGTACCGAGACACAATCCTTTCAAAGGACAAGTATGGCTGCAGGTGATTTGGGGAGCCTCGAAAAGGGATCTGGATCCATCAATTTCTCTCAAAATAGTATGAAGACTGGGAATTGGGTACAATGGAGAAGGGTGAGGTTGGCCAGGTGTTAATAATTGTTGAAGCTGGGGAGTGGGTATAAGGGGAATTCATTACATTATCCTCCCAACTTTTTGATTTTTTACTAGTCCATTTTGTGTGCCAATACTGGGACTTGTACTCAGGTCCTGGGAACTGTCTCTTAGGTTTTTGTTTTTGTTTTTTGTGGTTTTTTTTGCTCAAGGTTGGTGCTTTAAGCTATAGCTCTACTTTAGGCTTTTTGGTGGTCAATTGTAGATAAGAGTCTCAGACTTTTCTTCTGGGGCTGGCTTCAAACTGAGATCCTCTTGAGTAGCTAGGATTACAACATGAGCAATGGGTGTCAAGCTTCCATGATTTTTTTTAATGGAAGAGCAATAGTAAACAGATACAGTCTTTGGGAGGGAGGATGGTACTAGGGTTTGATCTTATAGCCTTAAGCTTATTACACCGCCTCTACCATTTGATCTAGGCCTCCATACCACCTCCCTGTATTGGTAGGGATTTTGTTGTTGGTTTTGTTTGTTTTTTGCTTTACAAACTTTTTTTTTTTTGGGTCCGGTTGTGGGGCCTGAACTCTGGGCCTGGGTGCTGTCCCTCAGCTCTTCAGCTCAAGGCTAGTGCTCTACCACTTGAGCCACAGCACCACTTCTGGCTTTTTTCTTTTTGCTTATGTGGCGCTGAGGAATCGAACCCAGGGCCTCATGCATTGCAAGGCAAGTGCTCTACCACTGAGCCACCTTCCCAGCCCCGCTTTACAAACTTTTTTGGATAGTGTCCCTTGCTTTTAACCAGGACCTCCTACCTACAGCCTCTCAAGCATCTGTGACTATAGGCATGCACCATGAAGCCTGGAAATAATAGATACAATCTTAAAAGACAGTGAAACAATTTTGTTTTTGTCTAATATCATAGTATATCCCACAGTCCTGAGGAGGTCTCCAAGCTGTGCTGATAAGTTTGGGACTATGATGTCTTACTGGAATGGCTGCCTTGCTTATGAAATGGCCTTTGAATGGTCACCAGGAATTTACACCCTTATTTAATGGTAGGGAGTTGCGAGAGTCCTAAGGATAGTATGTATTTGGGTCTCACAATCTGAACCTTTTTGTAAAATCTGAGCTAATGTCTTGTTTGTTTATTTTTGAAGCAGGGCTCTCCTTAGGTTATTAGGCCAGTTTAGGCTGGCCTCAAACTCCTACCTCAGCCTCTGGAGTGCTTGGATTACATATGTGTATGGCTTATGGTAATGGTTAATGTAAATTACAAATATAATAATTACAAAAAAAGGGGAGGGAGGAAAAGAAGAGAGGAATCAGCATTAAAATAGCTATGCTTAGCCAGGTGTGGTGGCTCATGCCTGCAATCCCAGCTACTCCAGAGGCTGAGATCTGAGAATCACAGGTTGAAGCCAGCCTGGGCAAGAAAAGCCTGTGAAACTCTCATTTCCAATTAGTCACCAAAAAGCTGGGACTGTAGCTGGGGCTCAAGTGGTAGAGTGCTAGCCTTGAGCAAAAAGAAAAAGCTTACGGACACAATGCCAAGGCCCAGAGTTCAAGCCCCACAACCAAAAAACAAAAACAAAAATACTAAGGCACAGCACCCAGGCCCTGAGTTCAAGCCCCATGACCACCACAAATAAAAAAGCTATTTTTTACAAAGCAGAAGTTTTGAAGTCCCAAGAATCTGCCTTAGAAGATGACATCTTAGCCCCAAAAGGCAGATCCAACCTCAAAGTCCCTTGTCTGGTCCTTCCTGAAGGCACAAGGTCAGCTTTTGTCTGTCTGTCTTTCTGTCTGTCTGTTTCAGAGCTCTTCTACATATCAGGCACTGTTCACACAGGTGTGAATAGAAGTTTGTACTTCTGGAAGGATGACAGTCATGGTTAGAGCTGTGACAGCCCAAAGCCTAGCTCTGTAACCAGCAATCAGAATAAGCCTCAAAGACGGCTCTTTGAGCTAGGTTTTGAGAAATAAATAGGAGTTCACCAGGAAGTGAGCAGGAGGAAGGGAATGCAAGGCAGAGGGAACTGCCATGACCAAGGTGAGAGACATGAAAGGCCCTGGTGCTTTGTTGAGAGTGGTAAGGTGGACAGGGATTTCCAAAAGTCAGAGGAGAGCCATTGAGGATTTTCATCACTCATGAGACATGACCAGAGCATGTTCACTTAAACATGCCTGCTCTCACAAAGTCCTGTACTTCTCCTTTCTTTTCTGGCTCTCACAGACTGCCCATAACTCTACCAGGTCTGGATCTAGCCAGAGGGAAGTAGCCAGGCTCCACAGCTTGGTTGGGAGGGCTGTCATGATGCGCAGACAGTAGGGACACTGTGCAGGCCAGCAAGCCTGTCCGGTGTATGTAACATCCACCTTTCCTGTTGCTTTTTGGGAGAATCATTTTATTTTGTGCCAATACTGGGGCTTGAACTCAGGGCCTGGGTGCCTGTCCTTTAGCTTTTTCATTCAATAGATAAATAAATAGATAGATAAATGTTCTATCACTTGAGCCACAGCTCCACTTCCAGATTTTTGCTAGTTAATTGGAGAGTCTCAGACTTTCCTGCTCAGGCTGGCTTCAAACCCTCATCCTTAGATCTCAGCTTCCTGAGTAGCTAGGATTGTAGGTATGAGCTGCTGGTGCTTGGCTAGACCTCTCACTTCTAAACACCCACCTGACTGCTGATGTCCTCTCTCAGCGCTGGTCTCTGGGCCGTCCTGGCCTTCCTCAATCAGGCTCTCCCTGAGTTTTCTTCCTGCCCAATTCTCCCACTTCCTGGCAGAAGGTTCTTCACCTTCCCTGCGGGAAACATTGAGAGTGGATTTGCCCGGGGCCAGCCTCTCCTCACTTCCTAACCTCAGCCCTAGCTTTACCTCCTTCCAGGAAGCTGCTACTCCCAGCCTCTTCCTCCAGCTCTGCTGTCTCCTCTAAATTCCAGATTCTCTGCCCAACTGCCTACCTGACATCTCCTCCCTCTGAAAGGCGCCGTGTCGAGCTCTCGTCTTGATCTGCCCTGTCCAACTGTGCTAACACGTTCCTCTTCCTCTGCTCCCACTGCCATGCATTCAACCTAAAAGCCAGAAACATGACCCCACCTGCACCACTCTACCTGTACCCCTCAGCCGTACCATCTGATCTCTGCCCCTACTGCCACCTGTCAGATCTCAGCTCCAGGATCCCTTCCCTGGGGAAGGGTTGGCCGCCTCCTGACTTTCTTGCATCCCCCATTACAGGTGCTCAGAACATTGAGCGTCTGGCTGCCACAGCCCTTTGTCATGTTTGCAATTTAGCATTGCTTGATGAGATCATTTGAGCAATGCTCACCTCTCCTACTAGAAATAAACTCCAGAAGTGCTAGAACCTTGCCTCAAGGAACAAACAGTAAAAGATAAACAGATACGGAAAGGGCTTTGGAAATTGTGTCGTCCATGCAAATGCTGTGGTGGCTTGGCCTTTGTAAGGTCTGAAGACATGGTGCTAGGGCAGGGGCTGCTTCTGTCCAGAGGGATGTGTGTGTAGGGGGTGTCAGTTATGTGATTTGAAGTGTGTAGATTTGTGTGGCTTCTTTTGGGGTGGAAGGAAAGATTGAGCAGGGAGAAAGAAGCAAAAGGTGGGGGTTGTTCTATTTGGGATGGAGGGAAGGTCATATAGAGACATTGAGTTCCCAGTTCGCTCATCCTGTTGTACAGGCTGTTGACTACATGACTCTAGGAGGTACCACTCACACCCTAGTCTAAGAGAATGTCACTCCTTAGACTTGTGCATGATACAACCCCTTGCATTGATCTTGGTCATGTTCCTTCGTCTGACAGCTCCATGGTAAGCGATGACAGCAGCTAAGATTAACAGAATTTACCATGCAAGCACTTGGCATTCGTTTTTTATTTTACTAGGACCTCACATCAATCCTCTGAAATTGACATCTGTGTTTTGCACTTGGGGAAACTAAGGCTCAGATGAATTAGGTGCATTGTCCTGGGTCATTCAGCCCAGGACATTCTTATTATGATGCCAGTCTCCATTGAGGGTGTGAGGAAAAGGGGTATAGGGAACCCCAAAATACCTGATTGTAACTTTTTTCTTGTCTGGGGTTTGAACTTAGGGCCTGGATGCTATCCGTTAACTCTTTTGCTCAAGGCTGGTGCTCTACCACTTGAGCCACAGCTCTACTTCTGACTTTTTGGTGGTTGGTCTCCCAGACTTTCCTGCCTAGGCCTGCTTCGAGCTGAGATCCTCAGCTGAGCCCCCTGAATAGTCAGGCTTATAGGCGTGAGCAACCAGTGCCGAGCTCTGAGTATAATAATGGTTTCCATGTGTGTCTCTTTCCCCGTCATGGCTCTCTCCCACAGTTGGACAAGATGCTGGACCCGCAGGTGTGGCGAGAAGCAGCTACTCAGGTCTTCTTCGCCCTGGGACTGGGCTTTGGTGGTGTCATCGCCTTCTCCAGCTACAACAAGCAGGACAATAACTGCCACTTTGACGCTGCCCTGGTGTCCTTCATCAATTTCTTCACTTCAGTGTTGGCTACCCTGGTGGTGTTTGCTGTACTGGGCTTCAAGGCCAACATCATGAATGAGAAGTGTGTGGTCGAGTAGGTGGCCTGTCCTCTCTGGTCCCTCCTTCCCCAGCCTACCTCATCAGGAGTGGGCAGGTGGGCCGTGTGGGGCAAGAGGCCTGCATTAGGAAAGCATCAAGTATCCCACGGGGATACATGGCCCACAGGGCAGGCTCAGAGGTGTGGCCCATGGGGTCCTGCCTGTGTGCCTGCCTTCTTACCCAACCCTCTCCCCCATTATGCTGTAGGAATGCGGAGAAAATCCTTGGGTACCTCAACTCCAATGTCCTAAGTCGGGACCTCATTCCACCTCATGTCAACTTCTCCCACCTGACCACCAAGGACTACATGGAGATGTACAACGTCATCATGACTGTAAAGGAAGAGCACTTCTCAGACCTGGGTCTGGATGCGTGCCTCCTGGAGGATGAGCTGAACAAGGTAGGAGGCAGGCTCTTCTACCCAGGACAGGCAGGAGCCCAGAGACAGGGTAGCTGGAGCTTGGCTTCAGAAAGCCCATAGGGACTCACTAGTTTATGTCATGAGAAGGACCCACTATGCGCCCACACAGAGAGAGAATGAGGATGTGTCAGCAGAAGCCCTTGCCATGAAGTAGCTTAAGACTAGACCAGGGGCCAAGGCAGGCCTATCCATCTCAGAGACAGTCAGTGTGAGTAACTTCCCTATTAATTGAGGGGACTTGTGTGGTGTCTGGTCCTGCTATATATACATATATATATATATATATATATGTATATAAATATATATATAATCACTTAGAACAGAGGCTGCTCATGATGCATGAGGCACAGGTTTGTGTTCCTGTCTGTCCTTTGTGCTCCAGCTCCAGGTCTAGGAGTTGAACATTAATATCATCCCTTGGTTTTAGCCATGAGTAGCCTATAGGTGGGGGTTTGGTCAAGATCTCACAGCTACTAAGTGGACAAATACAAAGATGAATTAGACAAAGCATCCACTAGTGGCTCACACTTGTAATCCTAGCTACTCAGGAGGCTGAGATCTGAGGATCATGGTTCACTGCCAGCCTGGGTAAGAAAGTCTGTGAGAATCTTATGTCCAGTTAACCCCTGAAAACTTGGAAGTATTGCTGTGACTCAAGTGGTAGAGCAAAAGAAGCTCAGGGATAGCACCTAGGCCCTGAGTTCAAGCACAGGGACTGTCACCAAAAATGAAAATTAAAAACAAAATGAGGGCTGGATATGTGGCTTAGTGGTAGAGTGCTTGCCTAGCATGCATGAAGCCCTGGGTTCGATTCCTCAGTACCACATAAACAGAAAAAGCTGGAAGTGACGCGATGGCTCAAGTGGTAGAATGCTAGCTTTGAGCACAGAGAGGCTCAGGGACAGTTGCTAGGCCCTCAGTTCAAGCTCCAAGATTGGTGAAAAATGACTGTTCAGTCAAATTATATGGGTAACAGGATAGAGAAACCCACAGGGTCCCACTTGTAGCAGGCTCCCATAGCTTGGTCCAACCCTGCCCTTCTTTATGGGACTAGAAGCTTCTCTAAGCAATGTCTGAGCTCCATTAAACAGAAGGAGCCACTTCCCACATCCTTGACCCTTCCTAGATGATCAAGACCAAAGGAGCCAGGCACTGGTGGCTCACTCCTGTAAGCCTAGCTACTCAGGAAGCTAGAATCTGAGGATCACAGGTTGAAGCCAGCCCAGGCAGAATAATTTGAGACACTCGTATCTCCAGTTAACCAGCAAAAAAGCTGCAAGTGGAAGGGTAGCTCAAGTGGTAGAGTACCAGCCTTGAATGAGAAAACCAAGGGCAAGCTCAAGGTCCTGAGTTCAAGCTTCAGTACTGGTACAGAAAATGAAAATAGCTAAGGTGCTCAATTTGGGAATCCATCGCCTGGGTTCTTCCCAACAGCATTAAGAACCTCTCCTTTCTGTGTTCCATAAACATTCCGCACCCTCTTTGGGATGGCCTGCTTCTCTGAATAAAACTAGAATTATAGCAGATTTTTCATACACTACAACCTTGATCAAATCCAATTGGCAGGAATTACACACTCAGATGGAGGTATGTGTTCCCTCGAAATCACAGGAGAACGTGTAAGGCAGTGAGTGTGTGCTGTGGCCAAGTGCCCTGGAAGCAGAACCCAAGCATTCAAGCTGTTCTTGAGCTATCTGGTGGCTTAATTAAACCCTAGACCAGCTTCACCAAAGACCAATCAAATCGCTGTGATGGAGCGCTAAAAGCTGCCACAGGGCAACTGTCAGAATTTCAGAGGTTGGATGGCCAGCAAGGTGGGAGCAATCAAGGAAGACATCTTAGAAGAAGTGGTTGTGCTGGGCATTTCTAGACATGAGCCTCTTCCCTTGAATCCCCAAGGTCGCTGTACCACCTGTGGATCCTAGACCCCTGCAGGGGAATTCCTGGTACTTCTATTCTACCTGGGGATTCCAGTGCCTCAGGATTCCCAACCAACAGGCTGAGATCCAATCAATGGGATCCAGGTTTTAGGGGGGGGGGTGCTCTCTAGGAAACAGAGAGCAATGATTCCTAAAAGCCCCAAGGGCAGAGGGAAGGAAGCAGGGGGCTTCCAGGGTGTGGGTGGGCCTTGAACCTTCACTCTCCACTCTACCCTCAGTCTGTGCAGGGCACAGGCCTGGCCTTCATCGCCTTCACGGAGGCCATGACACACTTCCCTGCCTCTCCGTTCTGGTCTGTCATGTTCTTCCTGATGCTCATCAACCTGGGTCTGGGCAGCATGATCGGAACCATGGCGGGCATCACCACACCCATCATCGACACCTTCAAGGTGCCCAAGGAGATGTTCACAGGTAAGACCTGTGGCTGCCCACGTACGGGACAGTCAGGTGGACTGGGGGTTCAGGTGGACAGGTTCTCCCTGGGCTGTGCCTTCTCTCTGGGGATACAGCTGGGCCACAGCCGGAAGGAGAAAGCTGGAAACTGGAGTCAAACCCGAGTCAGGAGGTGGGCCTATTTCTTGGGTTCACTTGCCTTCTGGCTGAGGCCCTGTTGGCTCATCTTGGGCAGGGCTCAGCACCGGCTCACACCCCGCTCCACCCTCTTAGCTCCAGCCCCTTTGGATCCTGGACCCTGCTAGTATATCTCGGGTCCCATGCAGAACTCCTTCCCACTGTTACCCTCAGGCAGGGAGTACCTTATGGTTCTCAATGAGGAAACGGAGGTAGAGACAGAGATCCAGAGAATCATTTCAGTTCAATGCCGTAATTAAATGGAATTGACCAGGGATGGGGGAGATAGGAGAATCTGGGCCTTCTTTAAGAATCCCTCCTACCCAGAAGGGGGGCTCAGAACCCCAGCATTGAGCACCCTCCGGTAGAGCTGTCCCCAAGGGAGCGGGAATGCTAGCCTCTTGTCCACCCTGCACCTTTGCCCCCACACCGGCCTCTCGGCTCTCTGTAGTGGGCTGCTGTGTCTTTGCATTCTTCGTGGGGCTGTTGTTCGTCCAGCGCTCCGGAAACTACTTTGTCACCATGTTCGATGACTACTCAGCCACCCTGCCACTCACCGTCATCGTCATCCTTGAGAACATTGCTGTGGCCTGGATCTATGGAACCAAGAAGTAAGGGAGACAAGGGGAGAGGTATGGGGGAGAGGGGAAGGAGAGGGGAAGCAGGAGGCAGGAGGCAGGCTTAGTCTCACATGACTTCCTGGAGGGTCCTGTATTCTAGACCTGCTTGTGAATGGAGCAACAGACCATAGACTCTGGGAAACTGAAGCCTAGAAAGAGGGAATGACTGACATAAGCCATTAGCTAGTAAAAGAAATGTGCTGAGGATCTATGAGTCCTGGGTTCAAGTCTACTCCCAGCCTAAATTGCCTTAAAAAACCTTGGCCTCTGTCCTAGGTACCAACTCTCCAGAATCCAGTTCAACTTCTTAAGCATTTGGTGGGAACTCCAGGATTCCCTGCCCTCAAGAACTTATGGAGTAGCTGGGCACCAGTGGCTCACACCTATAATCCTAGCTACTCAGGAGGCTGAGATTTGAGGATGGTGGTTCAAAGCCAGCCTAGGCAGAAAAGTCAGTGAGACTCATATCTCCAATAAACTACCAAAAAATGCCAGAAATGGAGCTGTGGTTCGGGCAATAGAGAGCCTTCAGAAAAACAACAACAACAAACTCAGGGGCAGCACCCAGGCTCTGAGTTCAAGTCCAGGACCACCATAAGTAAATAGTAAAAATAACTAATGAACTAACTTGTAAATCTCAGTGGCTACGATTTCCAACGGTGGTTTGGGCCCAAGTTTGGAGTCAGGCAGGGTAAGATATTCAGTGATGAGGTCTGGTAAGGATGGGTCTGGTCTCATGGCCTGATCTGAGGACGGACTTCACTTACCATCAGTGCTCAGCCTTGTCCCCCCCTTTAAGGAGAAATCCCTGTTCCCACAAAGCTCTTTCTACCAATGCAGCTCAGCTCAGCTCAGCATTGTCTGTGGCCACTCTTTCCTTGTCCTCAGCAATGCCTGGGACTTCCAGTGACCCCTCAACCCTGAAACTTCCTAGATAGTCTTGGAATTGGGGTATTCTCACAGGAGTCACTTGCCTATGAAAGGGGGGACACCCCTGTCTCTGCCCTGTGAACCAGGGCTGGAAGACACTGCTAGAGGGGTTCTAACTCTGGGTGCAATGGCCCCTACCCAGTGCCATTTCCATTCTCAGAATATCTTTTTTTTTAAAGGTGTGTGTGCTAATACTAGGACTTGAAGGTGTGTGTGCTAATACTAGGGCCTGGACACTGTCCTTCAGTTTTTTTCTGCTCAAGGCTGGCATTCTGCCACTTAAGCTACAGCTCCACTTCCAGTTTTTTGTTGGTTAACTGGAGATAAGAATCTCATACACTTTTCTGCCTAGGCTGGCTTTGAACCATGACCCTTGGATCTTAGCCTCCTGAATAGCTAGGATTACAGGTGTGAGGCACTGGTATCTTACAGAGTATCATTTTAATGTGTTTTGTGATAGGTCAGCAGGCTTGAACTAAGAACCTGGACATTGTCCCTGAGCATTTGTGCTCAAAGCTAGTGCTCTACCACTTTGAGCCACAGCTCCACTTTCCATTTTCTGGTGGTTAATTGGAGATAAGTCTCACAGACTTTCCTGTCTGGGATGACTTTGAACTGCAATCCTCAGATCTCAGCTTCCTGAGTCACTAGGATTACAGATGTGAGCCACCAGCACCTGGCAACAGTATCATTTTCATTGATTGATTAGTGATACTGAGGTTTTAACTCATGACTTTGCATTTTCAAGGAAAGTGCTCTACCTCTTCAGCCACACCTTCAGCCCAGAATATCATTTCTAAATGCATAACATAAACTATATAGGATTGTATAAGAAAGTAATCACATAAAAAACTATTGTTTAATATGCAGAATAATAAAGCACATGTACTTTATTTTTATTGCCTTAAGTTATAAGATCTGCTTGTGGATCTAGTACCAAACATGATTTCAAAGAAGTGATGAATATGAATGTTTAAGATACCTTCAATAACTATCAGGCAGTATGAAAATACGTGATTTCATCTATTGGTGACCGAGTTCTATCTATCTTTAACACTCATGATTGCTTACATTTGTAATAGACTGAATTGCCTGATTTCAGGTAGTATAATTTAGGGAAAGATGAGTGTTGTATGCTTTATGACCTGCCTGCCTCTTGCAATTCTTAGCAATTCTAGACCTTGAGGTGAGAAACCTGGATGCTAAGAAGGTGCATCGCTGTATCTTCTCCAGTAGGGGGAGTCAAGAGCCATGCAGCGTGTGCTCCAGTGAACACAAATTGTCTAGTGCCCTTACCCATGCTCACCCAGGGCAGGTCTGACAGGCTGTATCAAATCCTTGGGTGGAACATGGTTCGAGGTAGAGCAGAGCCTTCAAGAGTCCACCAGGCCTCACACTATGAGTATTGAAGGTGAGGCCTACAAAAGCACCTGGGAGGAGCCAAGGCAGCTGGTTCACACCTGTAAATCTAGGTGCTCAGAAGGCTGAGATCTGAGGACTGAGGTTTGGAGCCAGCCCAGGCAGGAAAGTCTGAGAAACTTTTATCTCCAATTAATCACTTAAAAAAAAAGTGTGGCTTAAGTGGTACTTCATCAGTCTTGAGTGAAAAGATCATGCTCAGGTCCTGAGTTCAAGCCTCAGTACTGGCACAATAAAACAAAACAAAACAAAATATAAAGTATAGTAACATGTCAGCCTTGAAGGAAAAACCTAGAAAGGGTGCTGGTGGCTTATATTTGTAATCCTATCTACCTGAAAGGACTGAGATCTAAGGATCATAGTTCAAAGCCAGCCCAGGCAGGAAGGTTTGTGAAACTTATTTCTAATTAATCAGCAAAAAAGCCAGAAATGCAGGCGTGGCTCAAGTGGTAGAGTGTCAGACTTGAGTGAAAAGCCAAGTAGGAGCAGAAGCCCCTGAGTTCAAGCCCCCAATATGGGCACAAAATAAGAATAGACTGGAATAGCCTAGGAGAATAAAATCGAATGGCATAGAAAAGCCTAGAAGGAACTAGTCAATGAAGGCTTTTTAGTAGAGGTAGCTGGGGGTAAGAGGGGCGTGGTGGTAAAGGTGCCCTCTGCTATGCCTGGCAGGTTCATGCAGGAACTGACGGAGATGCTGGGGTTCCAACCCTACCGCTTCTATTTCTACATGTGGAAGTTTGTGTCTCCCCTATGCATGGCCGTGCTCACCACAGCCAGTATCATCCAGCTGGGGGTCACACCCCCAGGCTACAGTGCCTGGATCAAGGAGGAGGTAAGTGGTGGGGACTGGAGACCTCAGAGACACGGACACCTTCTCAGGCCTTTAATGCAACAGGATACACCTTTATAGGGCAGAAACTCTGTGCCAGGCCCTGTCAGGGGCTGTGCATACCAAGCCTGTCATCTGTACATTCACCCTGAGCAATGGCCTTATCCCTACGGCACAGATGGGGAAACAGGCTCACTACAGGTCTTTCAAACCCTTAGTTTCTCTCCATGTCTATGGAGATGTCTGAGGTAGCTAAACCAAGATGAGGGTGAGTTCAAGCCCAATAGTACCCCAGAGCCACTGACCTGCTGATGCCTGGTTAGGGTGATGGGAGGGGAGAAGAGTGGCAGATCGTGGTTGAGGGCAGGAAGAGGGCTGTCTTGCAGACCTGGTTGGGGGGGGGGGGTGGCAGGGAGGTGTTTGCCATCACTGTACCGGCAGCAGCCCTTACCACTCAATCACCCTCAGGCTGCAGAGCGCTACCTGTATTTCCCTAACTGGGCCATGGCTCTCCTGGTCACCCTCATCATCGTGGCGACCCTGCCCATCCCTGTGGTGTTCATCCTGCGACATTTCCACCTGCTGTCCGATGGCTCCAACACCCTCTCCGTGTCCTACAAGAAGGGCCGCATGATGAAGGACATCTCAAACCTGGAAGAGAACGACGAGACCCGCTTTATCCTCAGCAAGGTGCCCAGCGAGGCGCCCTCCCCCATGCCTACCCACCGCTCCTATCTGGGACCCGGCAGCACATCACCCCTAGACACCAGCGGCAACCCCAACGGACGCTATGGAAGCGGCTACCTCCTGGCCAGCACCCCTGAGTCAGAGCTGTGACCACTGCCCCCAACCAGTCCATTTCCCCCCCCATGCCCACCCACCCTGCCCATTTATCTGGGCCTTCCCTCTTCCTCCATGGTGGCCATCAGGTCCAGGCCAGGCCCTCTGCCAAGGACAGAGGGTCTAGCTTGCTCAATCTCGACCCCAGCACTCTGCTCCCTTGGTTTGAGCAGGAGGCTGGGGACAACTCTATCCCCCACTTCTTACCCTTGAGAACCTCTCACCAAATTGCAGCCATGTCACCAGAACAATCCACGAGTCTGGATTCCCAATAGGGGAATCCTCCTGTAACCTGCCACCCGCAGTTTTGAGGTCTGAGGTCCCCTCATGTGGTCACATGATCATGGGAAGAGGCACCAGCCAACCCAGACTGGGCGGCTTCTGAGCCAGGAGGCTGCCTTAGTGATCCGGGGGGGAACCCATGTGCCAGGACTCAGGGCTCAGACTTGGTAGGAGGTATACAGAAGCTTCTTAACTCGGTTTGGTGGGGTAGGTGTTACCCTTTGGCTTGAGCATCCATCTTGGCTGCCGAGAGGCCTCCTTGGCCTCCTGGCTTTAGCTGGAATCTTTGGAGGTCATTGCCCTTATTGGGGTGGCTAGGGTATGTTCCTTCATCCCACCTAGAAAGACAACAACTAGGCCCAGAACCTTCCCGCCTAGATTAGGGTTCAGCCATCTCCTGGTCCCCTTCCACCCAGCCTGGACCCCCAGCGTGGTGGCCTTTGCCTCTTTCCTCAAGAGAGAAGGGGACCAGAGCACAACTTGACAGTTTCCAGCACAATCTCGATGGTTTGGAGCACAATTGAAGCACACTCCCCCCTCCCCCCACCTGGGGCCTCATTTTCCCTCTAGTGGCGGATTCTCCCTTAGAAGTTCAGGGGCTCTTAACCAGGAAACCTTGTTTCTGGGGGGAGACAGGTCATTTTGGCGCTCCTGTGGGCTGCCATTCACTCTCCCTGTGGCACACACACACACATCTTGTGCAAACACCCTGGAAAGCTTTCCCAAGCCTCCCTGGCCTGTGGTGCCGTATCACATACAGTGCTACAAGACAGAGCCTCTGTCCTGCAGGAGGCTGAAGCGGATGGCAGGATCCCCCAGCCGCCATGTTCAAGACTTCCCCCCCCCCCCCCGACTATTCTCAGAGTGCAGGACCTGACTGGAGAATAAGTATCCGTGGATGGAAGGATGGATGGATGGATGGATGGATGGATGGATGGATGGATGGATGGATGGATGGATGGATGGAAGACATGTTCCATCTTTGAGAGCTCTGGTTTGCAGGGAAGAAATAGGTCTGGGACACCTTCATGGAGGGTCCTGAGTCATTTTAGTGACACCCCCCCCCCCCCACCAACTGCTCTCAGTACTAGGAGGAACAGAGCAGGAACAGGTCCCCCCTTTAGTCATGGGTCCTCTGGTTACCCCCCTTCTTAGGTGGGGGAGAGGGGCATTTCCCCCAACCAGCCCTCCCTCACACCTCTCATTTCTAGCTCTCCCAATCCCACCTATCCCAGTGTTTGAGAGGAGCCCAGATCTCCCAAAGGGATGAACTTTGGGACTACAGCGACCTACCATCAACACGCCCCCCCTCACCTAACAATACCTTCTACCGGGCTCCATGCCTAGCCCTAAGCAGAATTAGCAGCAGGAAAACCAGGCCCCAGGAGAAGACTTCCCTATCTACCCTCTTCTCTATGCTATTTCTATTGTACATTCAATCTGTATATGTGGGTGTAAATGCTGTGAAATGACAAACCCAATATTATACTGTGGCTGGTGGACTATTTTCATCCTCAGTGCTGTACAGATCTATTTTCATTGTATATTTGATATATTTTTAATTTTGTAGCGTGGCTGGGCTAAGCCCCAGCCTGCAAGTCTGCAAGAGGGGGCTGAGCTGGGGCTGTCTGCTTTGTTGTGAGCTCAAGTAGTGTTCATTGTAGCCTTTTGCTGTAGGCCAGGCCTTGTCTTGGCTCAGTCTTTCCTGTGTGTTTGTAGGGCTCAGAGTTGTGTGTGTGTGTGTGTGTGTGTGTGTGTGTGTGTGTGTGTGTGTGATGTATATACACGAGTGTGAGTGTGTGTAGGGTGCTGATTTGTGACCCTCCCAGTGTTTCCCACCTTTTGGAAGCCCAGGCTGCCTCTCTTCCCTCTCCCTCAGCTTTATGGATAAGGCATGTGTCTCTTACTGGTGATTCATCATCTTTATACCTCTTGTGAGAAGGAGGGCCTTGGGGAGAGGGAAGCCCCCCCTCTCAAGTTAATTGTCCAGGCAACTCTTTGCTTTTCCTACTGTGGTCACAAGCTCTGGGGCAGGAAAAGTACTGGATGTCTTAGGATGGCTTCGTACAGCACCTCTGCCCTATACCTGTCCTTGAGATGATTCTCACAGCTGAGAAAGGAACAGCTGTCCAATGAAACCTTTGCTGCCTCCACAGGCCATCAAGGGCAGGTAGGGTCACAGGGCAGGTGAGGCCCCAGTCCCGCTTCTCTGCAGGAAAGAGATGGAATAGGCCCCACATCCCAGCACAGGGCCCCCACTTCCACTGCTTTGGAGATTTGGGGCAGAGCTGGGGAATGCCAGTAAGAGTCTCCTCCCCTCTCTGTCCTCAACCTCAATTACCAGCTTCTTGCTCAGGGAGCGTTCTACCCTCTCTCCTGAGGTATCATGACACCTGAAGCCCAGATGAGGGACAGACAGGTGGGGCACACAAGGTAAGACAGGCGTGGTTGGTTTCCGCCCTACAGAATCTGCAGGGGCTGCTGCTTGCTTAGTGTGGGAAGAGGCCCCCCAAGTCAGCCTGCGTAAGCCATGAGTCTGGGGGCACCAGGGCCCACGCAGGCCTGCAGTATTACCCGGCAGGGAGTTTCCCCTCTGCCCATCCTCACAGCCGCACATTCCCCGCTAGAGTCCTCCCCACTGTGAAAAAGAAGCGAGACCGAACAGGTTGGAATGCACCTGACACCCTGCACACACCCCTGGGTCCCTCCACTAGGCCCTGAAATGTGGGAGATGTGTCCCCTTCACAGGGCCCAGTGATGGAGGCTGAGAGAGGAGGGCCCAGGGTCCCCTCTCACAGAAAACCCTGCTTTGTATAGACCCAAGCACACACACCAGGCAGTCACTTCCGGTCCTGGTACACATTTAGAACAGTTCAAGTCTATGTGTGCCATGCTGGTCAGAGCCCTGGGTCCAGAACCACTCAGCCCAGGGGAGGGGTGGGGTATTGCACACACACACCCCAGGGCCACACCTTCCTCTCTCTCCAATCCTGGTGTACAATAAAGTGTCTGTTCTTACCACATATCCTCTTACATTTTTCTTTTCTTTTTTCAATTTGTTGATACTGGGGCTTGAACTCAGGGCTTGGGAAATCGATCCTTCCGCTCAAGGATGGTACTGTACCACTTGAGCTACATCTTCACTTCCTTTTTTGCTGGTTAATTGGAAGTAAGAGTCTCATGGACTTTCCTGCCCTAGGCTGGCTTCAAACCATGATCCTCAGATTTTACTCTTCTAAGATCGAGGGTGATAGGTCTAAGCCACCAATGCCTAGCTCCTTCTGCATTTCTTACTCAAGTTGTTGGAGTTAGAAGAGAGGATGGGGTGAGGCAAAAGTCCTGAGCAAAACTTTGGGGTGAAAGTTTGGTCTGGGATGGGCAGACAGCACTCCTAAGGGTGCTGGCTGAGATGTTTGGAAATGGACATATGTATTTTTTTAAGGCAATGCCCTTAGATAAGCACCTATTTGTGGTGGGCCTCTTCTCCACGTGTCTATCCTTCTGAGATCCTTCTAGAAGTTCTCTCAGAAAGATATTTCTGGTCTGGATTTTTCCAGGTGAGGAAAATGGGTCCCTGTCTGATGTGAAGATAGTGTATACTAGTCTCTTCAGGGCTGTGCCGGGGACATCCCTACCCTGCTCGGATGCTATACCTAGCCACTCTGTAAGGGCGGAGTGCTGACAGCACCAGTGTCTGGAGGTCTTAGAGGACACACAGGGAGGTAGAAACCTCGGTGATGGGGTCCGGGGAGAGGCCGGGAGTTGGCAGGTACAAGTCCATGTTCTAAGTTCTGAGAATCACCCTTCATTTCTGGTTAGCTATCTCTATTAGAAACTTTACGATGACGTATAAGCTATGATACCACTTACTTTGGCAAATTTCAATCACAAATATCACTGAACGCTGAGCTCCATAAAAGTGGGATGGACTGACGGCATCAGCGGCCCTACTTCCTGCCTCCCTCAAGAACAGACGCCCCAAGAGGCAAGATGTCTGGATCCTGAAGAAGCCCCATTCCCACCCTATCCCATTTCAGTCTGGAAGGTCTCCGAATGCTGTGTGATTTTAGACGCAACCAATGACCCCCCCCCCCCCCCCCCAAGGATTCTTTCAAGGTTTATTTTGTTTTGTTTTTCCCTTGCCATCCAGAAAAAAGTGTTGTTCCAGGCACAGCCACCAGATGGCAGAAAACCCTTTCTGTCCAGATCTCAGTGCCCCACCCCCATTCCCATCCTCTTCCACTCTGTGGCTCCTTTGAGGGTTATTCATTGAACAAACATTTCACAGAGGCTTGCTTTAGGTGTCAGAAGATAAGCAAATCAGCCCCACTGACCTGAATTTTGCTGAGTTTTGCTCTGCCCTGTGACTCCAAATCTTGCCAGTACTTAAAGAGTACTGCTCCAGTACTTAAAAAGAAAAAAAAAGTCACTTTGGCAGAAGGTAATGTTTATGGTTGAAATGCAAGATCTTCTCCAAGGAGATCTTGGGCCCTCAAAGATACAACATAATAAAAAGGCTTCAGTGGGGAGCTCTGGAGTCAGACTCCTCAAGTACGAGTTCAAATATAAATGCAAGCTGAGTCTTGTGTTTCCTAGAAGACCTTGGGTAAATTACTTAATCACTTTATTTAAATGTCCAAGTCTATCAGATAGTGATAACAGATAGATTGGATGAGAAAATGTATGTTGGTCCAGGCTGAGTTCCGAGTCAACTCAGATTCTAGTGGCTAAAATAACTATGATTTTATGGGTGAGGAATTTGGGCTTGGATAGTTTGAGCAACTCTTTTGGTAGCAACTGAAGTCGCTCAGTGATATTCAACAGGTGGACAAGCTGCTCTGGAGGAGATCTGAGGACTGTGATTCCAAGCCAGCCTGGGCAGAAAAGTCCATGAGACTCTTATCTCCAATTAGCCAGCAAAAAGCTGGAACTGGAGGTGTGCCTCAAAAGGTGAAGCATCAGCCTTGAGCAAAAAAGCTAAG